GGTATGAGCACAGGCAAGAATGCACATTAGATGCCTTAAACCAAGATAAACAAAATTGCGGTAGACTCTGAAATAAGGCCCGTACTGCGCATCAGAATGTGTGATGAGGTCATCACATGGTGAAACTGATTAAGGGATTGATGTTCTGGCAATCTGCACATCCCCATTGGAGCAGAAGGCTTCGGGGGAGGGATGGGAATCCTTCCTTAGGCGATCCCTCGTTGTCCAAGTAGGATTGTCTTCCAAGATTGGTGTACTGGTGGTGGGTCTGTAGGTGACTGTGGAGCCCTATTCTTGATCTGAATCTTCTCCCGCAGTGAGGGCCTTGGTTTCCAGGTGGAAGGTGGTCCCGGTTGGGGTTTGCTTGACGTGCTTTTCTCTTGGCAAGTTTCTCTCTTTTGCTCCCATTCGTGCCTCTTCAAATTCTACAGCACTGCTGGTTACAGCTGACCTCCAGCTGGAGTGCTCAAGGGCCAGGGCTTCCCGTTCTCAGTGTCTATGCCAGAGTTTTTAAGGTTTGGCTTTGAGCCCATCTTTAAATCTCTTTTCCTGACCACCAACATTCCGTTTTCCATTCTTGAGTTCGGATTAGAGCAACTACTTTGGGAGACGATGGTCGGGTATCTGGACAACGTGGCTGGTCTAGTGGAGTTGATAGCGGAGGACCATTGTTTCAATGCTGGTGGTCTTTGATTCTTCCAGCAAGCTGACATTTGTCTGATTGTCTTCCCAAAATATTTGCAGGATTTTTCGGAGGCAACGCTGATGGAATCGTTCTAGGAGTTGCATGTGATGTCTGTAGATAGTCCACGTCTTGCAGGCATGTAGCAGGGTTGGGAGGACAACAGCTTTATAAAGAAGCACCTTGGTATCCCTATGGATGTCCCGGTCCTCAAACACTCTCTGCTTCATTCGGAAAAAAGCTGTACTCGCAGAGCTCAGGCGGTGTTGTATTTCAGTGTCAATGTTGACTTTTGTGGAGAGGTGGCTGCCAAGGTAGCGGAAATGGTCAACATTTTCTAATGTTACACCATTAAGCTGTATTTCTGGCATTGGAGGGGGATTGGCTGGTGACTGCTGGAAGAGCACTTTGGTTTTCTCGATGTTAAATGACAGGCCGAGCTTCTCGTATGGTTCTGCGAAGGAGTTTAGAGTGGCGTGTAGGTCTTCTTTTGAATGCACACAGATGACATTGTCACCAGCATATTGGAGTTCTATAACAGATATTGTTGTAACCTTGGTTTTGGCTTTCAGTCTGCTAAGGTTAAATAACTTGCCATCTGTCCAATAGATGATTTCCACTCCTGTTAGGAGTTGTGGGAGTTGAAGTCCAAAATATCCGGAGGGCCGAAGTTTGCCTTTGCCTGGGATATACCCAAGGTTTGCTATGTGCAAAACAGGGAGGTTAAGAAAAAAAATTGAAACTGCACATCAGGCACATTAGCTGGGTAATTGTACAATGGAGAGAGAAAGTAGAGATGGGACTACATAACTGTCTAGGGCTGGGTGCCACCCCCAAAGCGATGAGTTCTCTATATATATGGAGCATGGGGCAGAGATCTATTCCTAGCAATGTAATCAGTTTAGCTTTGAACTCTGGATGTGTTTAAGGGTGCGGAATCAATGCAACTCACTCCATGTCAACAGCCATGGCTCAATGCTATAGAATTCTGGAAGTTGGCATTTGCAAGGCCTTTGGGCTTTTCTGGGAGCTGTAGTTTAGTGAGGCATAGCTATTCAAGTGATGCCAAACTTCATTCATTCTTCAGGGTAGATGCACCCCAGTCACATTGTATTGGGTAAGGATGCCTCCACATCATCTTTTCTTCCCCTTATATTCTTTCCATGATTTTTTTCCCAAATGCTGTTGTCTTCAGGTTGGATTTTTTTTTTTTGGTGCACTCATCTGAGGCAAAGATTCCCTTAGTTAGGGTCATTTTCCAGCCTTTAAAACAGGGGTCTCCAAACTAAGGTCTGGGGGCTGGATATGGCCCTCCAAGGTCATTTATCCGGCCTCGCTAAGGGTCAACCTAAGTCTGAAACAACCTGAAAGTGCACAACAACAACAATCCTATCTCATCAGCCAAAAGCAGGCCCACACTTCCCATTGAAATACTAATAAATTTGCATTTGTTAAAATTGTTCTTCATTTTAATTACTGTATTGTGTTAAAGTGGGGTTTTTTTGCACTACAAATAAGATATGTGCAGTGTGCATAGGAATTCATTCATGTTTTTTTAAAAAATTATAATCTGGTCCTCCAAGAGTTTGAAGGACTGTGACCTGGCCCTCTGTTTAAACAGTTTGAGGACTCCTGCTTTAAAAGAATAGTCGTGGGTTTGATGTGGGATCAAGAAGGAGGCCAGCCTATCAGTGTTTAGTTATAACCTTTGTTGTAGGAGCTAGGTCCCCCCCCCCCCCCACACACACACACACATACTGGTGCTATATGGATTGTTCAAAATGGAAAACTGTAGCTCCCAGGGCTGTTCAAGTGGTGCTAAACTGCATCTATTCTACAGTGTAGATCAATGTTTCTTAGCCTGTGGGCCACGTACCACCAGTGGGTTGTGAAGATGAAAATCTGGGCTGTGAACCTCTATCCTCTTTATTTATTTATTTAATTTCTGCTCTTTTCGTACTGCCTGCCACTCCCCTGTTGCTGACCGTGGTATATGTTCTGCATCAGAAGCTAGAGCTAATGTGGTTTATCCAGTGCAATTTTCTGAATCAGCATCCCAAACCGAATCTAAAGTTGACCAAAAACCGATTCGTAACCCTTTTGGTACTAATGTTGGAGAGTGGTCCCTGGTCAAAGTGGTCCTGGTCAAAAAAATAAATAAATTGGGAACCACTGGTGTGGATGGAGTCTTTCTCCTGTGCGTAAAAGGTGCAAAGAAAGAGTGCATAAAGCAGAATGCAGCTATTTTTCCTTTTCTGGAAATCTTGATTGGGCTCTGGGACATAATCCGTGAAAATGAATGCAGAAGCCGCTTCAGAGGCAGTCTAAGTGGATAAAAACACACCCTCTTCCCCACCAGGGAGCATCAACAAATTCCTCAACCTCCACTTGCAGGGAAAGCAGATGGGAGGGAGGCATCCAGGGAGCCTGCAAAGCAAACAGTGGTTTTGCTCTGTATCTAAAAATGCATTGAGTTAAAATGGACTTTTATCATTAATCACTTTGATGACACACTCAATTCACCATCTCCATTTTTTTTTTTTTTTTGCAGAGGAAACAGAATAATATGACACCCGGGGATGCATCTACACTGTAAATTCAAACATCCCAACATTTGACAATATCTAAAACCCCAAACACTTCTGGTCCTATTGGTACTTATATTACTAGTTGGAGAGCTTTAGTGTTGTGGTTCCTGGAAACCCACTTTTTTTTTTTTTGCAGAAGTTTAAATCTAAGTCTTTCACCAAACCTCAAATACCATGGTTCTGTAGGATGGAATCATGACAGTTTAAAGTGGTATCAAGCTACAGTAACAGCATAGTAGAGCCAACTGCTGCTCATGCACTGATGGAAATAACACCCTTTTTCAAGCCACCACTAGTAATTTGTTTGTACATGATTCTGTTTGCTTACTCTATTGTGTATGTATGTTTTGGTATGCACTGCAGTTTTCCCTTTACTCTATGTTTCTTGAGGTTGTGGGAGGGGCTGCAGACCACATGATCAGATATGGGACTACCCTGGGCTCAGACTCCATTTTTAGACTTTTGTTTAAGGAACTCTACTATAGATGTTTTTGGATGGTTAACTATAGTCAGTTTTATGCAGTATAGGCAAATTGTGCAGAATGCTAGGAGTTGCAGTTCTCGAGGGCGGTCAGGTTTCTACCCCAGCTTAATAGCATGCAAAAATTCCTTGAATATTTGGAACTTGACTGATCACAGATGATACAAGTTGAATCTAGATCAGGCATGGGCAAACGTCGGCACTCCAGATGTTTTGGACTTCAACTCCCACAAGTCCAAACATCCTATCGGCTGTTAGGAATTGTGGGAGTTTTAAGTCCAAAACACTTGGAGTGCCGACGTTTGCTCATGCCTGATTTAGAGAAATTAAGAGCTAGTTTCCATTTTTAGTGTTGACTATTGATGACATTTGAAGAAAAGGTATCAACAAGACCGGGAAGGTGTGCACATATCCATCATCCATCCTTAACTCATTTGTGCCCATCCCCCAAGGCTTTAACCAGGTGTTGAAAACAGGACTACTCACTCAATGATAACCATAAACATATATACATGAATTTCAATTTATTATCCCTCATCTCTGTAAGCAAATAATACAGAAGCTTAAGGCACAGTGCATTGATGTGGTTAACGTTATATGCTTTGGATTACAAGGATGCTTCAGACAAATCATTTAAGATGATTTCAAGAGAGGTTAGGATTAAATATAGAATGCTTGCTTTGATTCTCTTCTCCTGGATTGTAAATTTGTATTCAGAAGAAAGCATGTACTGTACAGTGGACTTTTGGTATCCACTGGGGTTTGGTTACAGGTCTTAAGAGTCATAGAATCATAGAGTTGGAAGAGACCTCGTAGGCCATCCAGTTCATCCCCCTGCCAAGAAGCTGGAAAATCGCATGTTACTGTATATACCCATGTTATATATAAAGGCATAATAACGTGGTGTCCAGGGCAAAATCAAGGTTTGTTTTTTAGATTTTTGGGGAATATTTCCAGGCTATAGTTGGTGGAATCAGTGGAAACAGAATCTGTGGCTATGGAGGACTGAATGTACTGTACTCTTTTTTATGGATGCTATTAATCACATGTTGCTTTGGTTTTTCTTGCCCATGGCATTGGGATATAAGGAAAAGTGCAGAACCATCAAGCCAAGGCATCTATCAATGAGAAGAAATTCCACAACTTTTGCCATTAAGACATTGAGGAACTAGAAGGAACCACCAATCCAGGAGGAATCAGCAGGGGGTGCTTTGACACAAATATAGGAAAGAAGCAGGAGGTCCATTCTGCAGCTTCAGAGCCCAAACACCTGGGGGCCGACACTGGTTCCCAGAAGAGCATTGCCAGCCTTTATACATTCACCCAAATGAGGCCCTGCAAATAGAGAAATAAAGGGAAACAGAATTTAATCTTTCCATTATGATTACCCTGTGCACAAGGGCTCAGCTATTTTTCTTTGTTTTTTTCCTCCAAAAGTGTCAACGGCACTCTACTCTCAGACTGAATCTGCACTGTAGAATTAATGCAGGTTGACACCACTTGAAATGCTATGGAATCCCAAGTCAGACACCAGGACTCTTTAGCAAAAAAGGCTAAAGATCTTGTTAAACTACAGCTCCCATGAATCTATAGTTTTGATTCATGGCTGTTAAAGCAGTGTCAAACTGCATTAATTCTATTGTGAAGATGTACTCTGAAGCACATATGAAGCTTGGAAAAATAAACTTCCATAACTAACCACTTCTAAAAGTTTTTGATCAATAGAAATATGCTTAGATGATTTTGGGATGCTCTTTATTCTGAGAATGGGAAAATGTTGGTATTTTTGGGCCTGGGCTGCTTTGATTCTGAGTTGCACAAGATGGTAATTCAACATGGCCAGAGAAAAATCTCCTTCAGTGACTGGGAGTAATTTTTTTCATATCAGGAGTGACTTGAGGAACTGCAAGTTGCTTCTGGTGTGAGAGAATTGGCCGTCTGCAAGGACATTGCCCAGGGGATGGCTGGATGTTTTACTATCCTGTGGAATGCTTTTCTCATGTCCCCGCATAGGAAGCTGGAGCTGACAGGCGAGAGCTCATCCCATTCCCTGGATTCAAACCACCAACCTTTCAGTCAGCAGTCCTGTCAGCACAAGGGTTTAACCCATTGTGCCACCGGGGGGTCCTACTGGGAGTAATAATATCCCTTGAGTTAATGGGGCAAACAACAAAGTAGGGTCAATTGTTCTCCAATTCATTCTCACCTCTATGATCAAAGGAGAGAAGGGGACATCTTTGCTCTCAAGGTTTACCATTTGAAACAATTACTATTGTGGAGAAACTCAGAGATTTTTTTTAAATTATATACCCCTGTTGTACAAATCCCAATTTGAGCCAAGGAGAAAAGGGAACACAGGTCTTGAGATAGGCATAAGACACAAGGCCAAAGTCCTTAAAGGGCATCTACAAGGATGAAACCCATATGTTACCAAAGTTTACATAAGGAAGTAAAAATATGGCCCACGAGAATATAGTTTGGGCAGTTTGTTTCAAAATTGACTGTTACCCTGAATGCATACTATCCTTGTTCTCCAACTCAATAAACCAACTCAATATTGGATGTTTAAACAAAAACCTGGAGAAGTCAAGCAATATTATCTAATCTGAGTTCCTATATTGGGGAAAAGGCAGGTTAAAAATAAAGTAAATAAATAATACGTAATAACCAGATATATGAAAATTATTTATTTATTTACTTTATTTGTATTTATTATTTATTTACTTTATTTGTATTTATTATTTATTTATTTTATTTGTATTTATTATTTATTTACTTTATTTGTAATTATAGCAGTAGGCCTCATCACCTTCATCAGCACTTTAAAAGAATCAGAGCTGAACTGAGACAAAATATAGAGGAAGATCAACCCTTGCTTTCTTGCAACTTTCCATGAACAATTGCTATCTGTGCTTTATGTCTTATTCATTTCAGGAGATTTAGATGATACCTTATACTTCCACCTGTCCTATATACTCTGCCTTTAGCTTTACCCTTCCCCCTTCCTTTCTATGCATAACAAGTCAACATTTTTAGTCAGAATGTCATATTTTTGGAAAAGGAAAATTAAAACTAGACTGAGGTCCTTTCTTGGGAATTAGAATCCTTATAAGGATCTGTTGTACCAGTGGAACTGGGTGGCAATTGGTGCCCTTTTCTCCTGGCTCTAAGCCAGTGATTCTCAACCTGTCGGTCCCCAGGCATTTTGGACTCCAACTCCCAGAAATCCCAGGGAGTTTGCCAGCTGTTAGGATTTCTGAGAATTGAAGGCCAAAACATCTGGGGATTGACAGGCTGAGAACCATGCTCTAAGCCCTATTACCCTTTGTTCATCCTCACCCCATTCTCAGGTCTCTCAGACCCACAGCATCTCACCTGAAGTCGCCTGCAGCCAGCTGAGTGCTTTTGCTTCCAGTAGTTCCCACTCATCCCTCTGCTCCAAAGCCTTGGAATGGAGCCACAGGAGGGCCAGCACCGTTGCCCACACATTAGGAGACACCTGGTGATGATGCAGAACATAGAAGAAACATAATGATTCCTGTTCCCATACTTGCTAATTATAACAGTTATTAGCTCTAGACCTCTAGACCATATTTTGATGGTTAAAATGATTATGTCAAAGCACATGCATCTAGTCAAATGAGTTAGGGTTAGGGTTTAGACAGCCTGCAGCAAACTCACCTGAGAAGGTATTTTTTTCAGTGCGGTCTCACTCTGGCCTAGAATGTGGGCTAATCCAGAATCAAGGCACCAAGACCCATCGGCGTTCTGCAGCGAGACCATGTTCAAGAGTGGTGATTCTTTTTCTATTGCTCCACCTTAAATATACAAATAAATATTACACACACACATACACAAGTTCAACTTTTTTAGACCTAGAACTCATTTTAAACCCAAATATGCATTTAGGAATTTGTTTTTCTATACAGTAGCTATTGTTGCAAACCACCACAGATTAGACCATGATCTAACACACCGAATGACAGTCAACACTCCCAATGATTAAGGTTAGGATACAACATCCAAAGTAATTATTCTAAGATGTGGGAAACTATCTCTTGGAAGTGTCCCACTGGCCACCTTCCCCCCTGAAATCCACATAAGTTGATAATTAAAGAACTATTGTATAAACAGCATGAAAAAAAAAACAACTGTGGTGTAGCCTTGGATCAAAGTTTGATTGCCCACTTGACCATGGAAACCTACTATGTGACATTGGATGAGTTGCACACTTTTAACCCCAGAAAACCCTGTGATCAGGTTACTTTAGGATCACCATAAGTCAGAAACAAATTCAAGGCACACAGCAACAAAAATGAGCTATAAAGAGCAGTCGCATATGAATTCTCAATCAGCTCATGTTGGGTTCAAAATACAAGATGAAGCAGTTACCTTCACATCTGTTTGCAGCTTTGAGAAAATATTTGGAGGATCATTGCCAGAACAGAGTGTGACTGAGCAGGGAAGTTCACTCTAATTGTGTGTTTAGTTTAATACCAGTGTATGGAAGATTACAGGGAACAAATGCAATTGCAATGCAGTGGTCTTCTTGCTACCCAGTACCTATCATGGGATTCTACTAAAGCTTTTGCATTTATTTATTGACGTATAATTGTCAATTTATTTACCTCCAAGAAACCTTATGCATTACTTTATAAATTAAACACTCCTTTCTTCTGCACAACTGTAGAAGCAAATGCAAAAAAGAAAGAACTTATTAATAGATTCACTGTAGTTATTTCCTATGAATATCCCCTTCAAGTCTTTATTATTAATCTGATCTGTTCTAGACCTGTTTTATTTTTAAAAAAATCTTTATTTGTATTTTTGTTTAGAGCAAGTATGCACATACAGTCTATGACTGGCTCCTTTTTTTTTGTATAGATCTATGTGGGCTACAGTTAGCAGAATATCGATGTTAGTATAAAACCTTTAGGGAGAAATGTGTTGTCGAAGGCTTTCATGGCTGGAATCACTGGGTTGCTGTAAGTTTTTCGGGCTGTATGGCCATTTTCCAGAAGTATTCTCTCCTGACGTTTTGCCTGCATCTATGGCAGGCATCCTAGTTTCCAACAGACCTCACAACCTCTGAGGATGCCTGCCGTAGATGCAGGCAAAACGTCAGGAGAGAATGCTTCTGGAACATGGCCATACAGCCTGAAAAACTTACTGCAACACTTTGGGAAGAAAATTTGGGAATCTCCTTGTTAACTACAGACCATCAAACTTTCAGGTTTTTTTTTTTAAAGAACTCTTGTGAAATCTGATACCTGTTTAGAATAAAAAAGATTCTGTGATAGGGATGGGGTTTGGGATACGTGTGTGTGCAAATCCTTGGCTTTTTCTTTCTGCCGCTCTCTTCAATTCAAAAACATACGCATCAGAAGAAAAAAAATAGAGGTGCAACCAAATGCAAACTTCCAAAGACAGATGGTTGCACCAAATTTCAGCAACATAATTTGCGGTCATTATATAAACACATACAACCCTCCAAAATGTGCTAATAGCATGCAATGAGATTATTGAATTCATTACCATCCTGCTGCGGCTGTCCAGTGTTGCTTGATAAATCTGCACCATGGCTTAGCATCATTAAAAGCTGATTCTTAGGAGTTGGTGACCTGCGTTTCCTGCACAGTGCTAGGCCTTTGCTAGGCCCGAGCTGTACTGCTGACATTGGACACATTGCCATCATTGGAGGGCACGCTAGAGCACCCGGTAGTGCAGAATAAAAACCTTGGAGGAAACAACAACAACAAAAAGCCCTTGGCATCAAAGAGGAACACATTTATTTTCTTCAAAAATATAGGGACATAGTAATATTCTTCCTATCAAGAGAGATCATCCAGGTTAGTACTGTCGACAGGGACTGCCAGAGTCTCTCAGGAATGGTGGGCAGGATTCAGTAGGATCGACCCAGCTTTCCTTTCAAAATCACATGAGGTTAATAAATTCAGGCTGATATGTTGGCCCCTACCCTGCCATTCCTCCATGGAGCTGCACGTGATGATGAATACAGATGGCTGCACCTTTTGTTAGGTGCAAAACCAGGTCTGTCACACCAAATGATTTTAGAAGCACTAGTCTTCAATTTAGCAGCTGATGTGGAGTGGACCAATTTCCCTTACAGGAATGTTGAGGCAGGACAAGGGTGGAAAAGAAGCTTCAGGGGACCATGATTCTCCAGCACAGGCTTATAAGTCAACTAGGTTTCTGGCTCATAAACACAATGTGAGATTTTTATTAAGGAGGAGCAGCCATGTTTCAGAGAAAGACATTTTTGGAGAGAAGAATGTACACCTGATTGTAAGGCCCACCGAAAATTCCATAAGAAATGTCTGTTTCACTTTGAGGGATGAATTAGTCTTTAATTGGCCATAAAAGATTTGGGCAATGACTGCTCTTAGGCTTAATTGTTTTTCTAGTGGACACAACTGACATTGATGTGACATGGAGTACAAATTTAGAATGGGTGCTGAACCGTCAATCATTAAATCTAAATATTGCCACAGTAAAGACACTCTTCGTCATTTGGAAGTCTCCAAGCAAATAATAGAAGCTTTCAGTTTGATTGCCCTTAGAGATCCATCCATCCAATAAACATTTCCTTCAACTAACCTCCATATCCCATTGATAGTGGTATATTTCGATGGATGAGAGGCCCTTGAATCGGTTTGCCCAGCTCTGTGTTGACACCAACATAGGCTGTCTGTGAACACACCACCCCAGAATTTAGGCTTGTCTCCAGGGCCAGGCGTTTCTTTTCCTCCTCCAACTCCCCAGCTCCCTCTAGTTCCTGCAACAGAGTCTGAGCAGCCAGTCGGTGAATAGGGAGCCTACAGAGAAAGAGAGAGAGAAACAGAAGAATAGGCACTGTTTCACTCTTGAACAATGGAAACATCACAGCTTCTACATATGAGTAAAACCTCCAAAACCCAACTGGAGTTGGTGGTTGGCTTTCAGAGAAACCACTTTCATGTAACTTGTGGATTTGGCACATAGAATAATACAATCATAAGAGTTAGAAGAGACCTCATGGGCCATCCAGTCCAACCCCCTGTCAAGAAGCAGGAAAATTGCATTCAAAGCACCCCCAATAGATGGCCATCCAGCCTCTGTTTAAAAGCCTCCAAAGAAGGAGCCTCTACTGCACTCTGGGGCAGAGAGTTCCACTGCTGAACAGCTCTCACAGTCAGGAGATACTCCCCAAATGGGAGAGTGGGATACAAATAAAATCAGTTGTTTAGAAGAGGGAATACTGCTTGCTAGCTGTTGAAATGCCCTCTTCTACATGATCATTCAAGGGCCATGGTGTGTTTTGTTTGTTTGTTTGTCTGTTTTTTTTAATGCAATACAACTGTTTTGGTTCACTCCTGACATGATAAATAAATAGGGGCTGTGATGGCACAGTGGGTTAAACTGCTGAGTTGCAGAACTTGCTGACCAGAAGGTCGGCAGGTCAAATGCACAGGACAAAAACATGCAAATGTGAATAGATCAATAGGTACCACTGAGGTGGGAAGGCAATGACGCTCCATGCAGCCTGTCGGCCACATGACCTAGAAAGCGTCTACGAATAATGCCAGCTCTTCAGCTTAGAAATGGAGATGAGCACCATCCTCCAGAGTTGGATTCGACTAGACTTAATGTCAAGGGGAAACCTTTACCTTTACCTGATCATTACAGGTATATGAACTATTCCCATTTTTTTAAAATCTGGAAACCCTAATTTAGTAGATTTGGAAGGATAATGGAGGATATTAGGGACAGTATATGTCCCTTGGGTGGCACTTCCCCAATTCTTCATCTTCCTAATGGTTTGCATTAGTGGGGAATTAGACTGGGACCTCCAGTGTTATTGTTATCCATTGCTACTGCCAGGTATGTCAATTAGGTCCTACTAACATAAGGTTATGTTACCTAAGATTCTGTCTTAGAAAATATCTACTGAAACTTTTGCTCATTGATCAACCACTTATCTACTGGAACTTTTGCTCATTTATCATGAACATAACCAGGAACTATTAGATTTCTATAATTCGTGTCCTGCAACAGAGTTGGTGGACTTCACACTGGAACCAGGACCCATAGCTTCTTCGTCTTGCTAGAAATCATAGTACAATGGGAATGCCCAAGTCTTCTCTATAATTAAGAAACCCTATCCTCTTTTACAAAGTCAAAGTGAGCATACAAAAAGATAGTCCTACCTATCCTTTTCCAAAGCGTGAACTGAGAATGTTGCCTTCTCCATGAAAGTCTGATCTTGGAAGGTGTAATGAAGGACAGCAGTACCCTCTGTGGAGTGTGAAGACTGCAAAGGAAAAGAGGGTGTCACCAGGTGATGGGGTGGCAACAGTTTCTTCTAAGTGGAGAAATGAATGCAGGGATGTAAAATTCCTAAGGCTCTTGTAGCAAAGCCTTGCCTTATTTGTTATACAGGATATGAGGCAGGGATTCTTCAATAAGAAGGACCTTGAGGAAGGCTACTTGCCTGATGCTGTCCACGAATCTGAGCATAGATGAGGCACCGCTGTCCCTGGAAAATGACCTGAGGGCCAGATCCGACAAGCACAGCCTCGAGACCAGAAGGCAAGTCCCAATTGAGAGAAATCTTTGTCACTGCTGGCTGAAGGGCTTTCTTCAATGACTGCATTGCCTGCAAAGAGACATCCATCTTACTTTGGAGTGGGGGAGTGCAAAATTAGCAGATCAGGTTTCACATTAAAAAATAAAATAAAATACAAATATGACCTTTCAGCTCAGCCCAAGATTGTATATAGTATACATCAATGAAGCTGTTCCAATGTAGATGACCCTGGTGAGTAATTCGGTAGTAGCTGTAAACTAAATGTTTTCTAAACACTCTTTGAAAGCAGGCAAAAAAGAAAAAAGAAAAGAAAACATGGCTTCAAAGGATGTTTGGAAAAAGTCTAAAACATAGCTGCTACAACAGGCAAACATGGCATTATAAAATCCAAACTGCATATAACTAAGGCACTGTGGATACATTAGACAAATCAAGGAATGACTACAGCTGGCACACTTAGAATCATAGAATCATAGAATCAAAGAGTTGGAAGAGACCTCATGGGCCATCCAGTCCAACCCCTTGCCAAGAAGCAGGAATATTGCATTCAAATCACCCCTGACAGATGGCCATCCAGCCTCTGCTTAAAAGCTTCCAAAGAAGGAGCCTCCACCACACTCCGGGGCAGAGAGTTCCACTGCTGAACGGCTCTCACAGTCAGGAAGTTCTTCCTAATATTCAGATGGAATCTCCTCTCTTGTAGTTTGAAGCCATTGTTCCGCGTCCTAGTCTCCAAGGAAGCAGAAAACAAGCTTGCTCCCTCCTCCCTGTGGCTTCCTCTCACATATTTATACATGGCTATCATATCTCCTCTCAGCCTTCTCTTCTTCAGGCTAAACATGCCCAGCTCCTTAAGCCGCTCCTCATAGGGCTTGTTCTCCAGACCCTTGATCATTTTAGTCGCCCTCCTTTGGACACATTCCAGCTTGTCAATATCTCTCTTCAATTGTGGTGCCCAGAATTGGACACAATATTCCAGGTGTGGTCTAACCAAAGCAGAATAGAGGGGTAGCATGACTTCCCTAGATCTAGACACTATGCTCCTATTGATGCAGGCCAAAATCCCATTGGCTTTTTTTGCCGCCACATCACATTGTTGGCTCATGTTTAACTTGTTGTCCACGAGGACTCCAAGATCTTTTTCACACGTACTGCTCTCGAGCCAGGCGTCCCCCATTCTGTATCTTTGCATTTCATTTTTTCTGCCAAAGTGGAGTATCTTGCATTTGTCACTGTTGAACTTCATTTTGTTAGTTTTGGCCCATCTCTCTAATCTGTCAAGATCGTTTTGAATTCTGCTCCTGTCCTCTGGACTATTGGCTATCCCTCCCAATTTGGTGTCGTCTGCAAACTTACTTAAATTGTGCAAAGAAACTTATGGCTACTATCAGAAATATTAAAAATTAACTAGATATTTTTAATTCCAAAATGTGAGTGAAGCATTGAAAGGGTTAAATGGATACAATGACTCAGCAAAAGCTGCAGTTCAATATAAGCAGCTGTGCCTGTAGTTTAGTAGCCCTCAGTCTGTGAGAGGTCTCTGTGGGAGAACGGCCTCAGTGTATTAGTAGGCCTCAGTGCTAGTTTGCCTCAGTATGTGTGAGGTCTCAGTCTGAGAGAGCTCCCAGTGTTAGAAAGCCTCAGTGGGAGAAAGGCCTCAGTGTTAGTAGGCCTCAGTGTGTGAAGACCTGCTGTGAGATGCTTGTGTGATAGAAGTCCCAGGTTGAAGGCCCTTGTGTGTGAAGCTCTAGTGTGAAGGCTGCTGTGTAAGCTCAGTGTCAGAAGAGGCTCTGTGAGAGTGAAGCTATTTATCTCCATGAGAAACAAGGCCAGTGTGGAAGCAAAGAGGGAAGTATAAAGAACTTTGTGTTATGGAAACCTTGTTCTTGGAAATAGTGCAAACATATTATTTTACTACAAAGAAATGCCTCCTAAGGAAGAGATAACATTGGTCTCAGTATTTTTATTCTTTTATCCTTTTCGGTTACTGGTGCTAGGTCACACTGCTGCTAAGTTACTCTGCTGTGCATTTATGGGGAAGATCTTTTTGTTATTAAGCCTATTCGCCCAACAGCTACTACAGTACTGTATTGCTAGTTCCAGTTAAAGGAGATCTATTGACGGTCTATTTGACAATTGTGTCAAAATGCAAGTGCAAGGCTCAACTGCTTCTGTGTCCAGAGGCATGGTCACTATTTATTCAAGTTTTACCCAGGCTCTCCAAACAAAGTTTTTAAGGGTAAAGCTATCCAAATGCAAATGCTTCCAAAGCCGAAAAGCAATGCAGCAAGTTGCTTACAGCTCAGGCAATGCAGATGGAAATGAAACCCTGAACAGGAACTAGGCCCTGGAAATGAACAGCCACAAACACGTACCTATTATTGTTGTTGCCTGCACTTAATTCCTGCACCACCTAGAATTTTTGAGCTTGCACTAATCTTGGCCTGGCCTTTTAAATTCCTTTGAACAGGCAGGATTACTTTTAATATATATGTGTTATGGTGACAATTTTTATGCTTATATTGTTTTGTTAATCTTATGGTTATGTTGTTTACTCTGTACGTATTGATGGTGAGTCCCCTTGGGGAGATAGAGCGGTATATAAATAAAGTTTTATTATTAAGAGTACAGAGGTCTTCTGCCCTCACCTTGGCTTGCATGCGCTCCTTGCCTGTGATGAACTCTGCACTTCCACCGGCTGCTCGAGCCACTCCTTTTATGAGGGCAGTGGAGGCTCCTTCGCCAATCCCAAAAGAGAAGCACCTATTCAGAGGCAATCGGAAGATTATGGGTCAAAGAACCAAAAAATAGAGACCAAGAGGCATCTTATCTTTAGCCTTACCTGTGGGAGTCGCTGTGACGTTTAACTTCAGCTACGACCTCATTTGTATTGTGGACCTCACCATCAGTAAACAAAAAAAGCTGGGGGAAGATAAAATGGAAGGGAGAGAAAGTAGGTATGAGACTAATCCTTGGGTCTTTTTTCACCTCCTGTAAGAGCCCACATCCAGCATTCGACTGTTCAAGAGATATTGTGGTGTAGTGGTTAGAGTGCCATATTGGGACTTGCAAGTTATTGACCCAAGTCCATACTTATGTCAGGAAGTCTTATTTGATGGTCCTGAGTCTCTCTGTTTTTTAAAGCTTGACCTCCCTTATGGGATGGTCACAAAGTAGCAGGGAAGGGTGGTCACTGGATGAAATGTAACTGAACGTAAATAACTAATTATCTAATCCACCAATATTATTTAATAAATAATTAAGAATTAATCAATGATTATTATACAACTAGTAAATAAGTATGATGCCAGGACATGCTTGGTTTCTTAAGTATAGTTAGAATCAGATTTCTGACTACTAACTTCTATGTGACCATGTGTGTTCAACTACTCTTCCTATATCCCTAATTATTTGTATTTATGGATCTTTTGGAAGTCTTTGTACTTCTCCACAAAAGCTGATTCTCTACAAAAAACAAACAAACAACATTCTTGCACCACAGATCCCCACCATTGTAGGAATGTTTGGTATCTATATCAACAGAGTGCAGCATAGCCAGTGCAATATGAGCTTATGATGGAAAGTTTAAAAAAAGGGGAAAACTTAGACAAACATACAGAAAATCCATCTTGGGATAGGAAAGGAGGCCAACAAAAGGAGATTGCCTACATTTCAATAGAAAAACACCTACATCTGCCTTTCATGTATATGTAAATTATCTTGAAGCAAGACCCCCATGGATGCTCCCTTCACAGACAAAAGGGAGCAAAGGACTCACTAATTTTTGGAAGGCCAAGCAACCACTGCAGACAGGAAAGAAGCAAAAAGACTTGAGTACATAAAGTAAGAAGCAGAGATGTAAAACAAAAGTGCAGATATATTATCTAGATGTCCCTTTCACTAGAATCTTCATCCAAGCATCCAAGCATTGCTTTCAACAAGTACCTGCCGAGGATGTCCTTCACGGCAGGATTGGCCATAAATAGCCTTCAGAGGCTGTAAGATCTCTGTCCCACCCAAATCAGCCTTCAGCTTCTTGACACGCTCTAGGGACTCCGTCATGGTCTGCTGGGTATATTCGACACTTTGCCTGCAGAAGAGACCAGAGAGCCAAAGCTAGAGAGATTAGGGATTCTGGAAGTTCCAAAAACTTTGGAAAGCAAAGGTTTCCCACCCTTGAAGCAAAAGGTCTGATGATATTGGTGGTTCAATACTCACGGGTAGAATGAATCATGGTCTGATCCAAAACCATAGATGTTGAAGTAACATCCCAAAGGCAGACTTTTCAGAAGGAGGATCAGGGTCTCCTGTGATGTTGAAAGGGGAGAAAAGACTAGAGTCATCTTGAACATCCCACCATGTTATTTAGAAGGTGTTTCAACATTACAAGCACTTGCTCCTTCCAACAACCCACTCCTCTCACTCTATGATTTTACCCCCATGATTCATAGTGCCCTGATGTTGTGGTGGTTAGAGTGAAGGATTCTTTCACTCCAAGCTAAAATCCTCATTCAACTAAGAATGCTACTTTCTGACTTTTGTTCAACCAATATTTCACAGACTTGTTAAGATAAAACAAGAGTGTGAAACACATACATTCTTATGAGTATCAGTAGCACCTGGTGGCTTCCATATGAGTGAGGCATTGCTATATATCACCTTGGATAGCACCTTTAAGCTGACTGTAGTTTAAAGGTGCTATCCAAGGTGATGAACTTGTTTAAATGAGAGAGCATTCAGCATCTTGTGTAGGTTCTTTAAAGTCCAGAGAAAACCCTAGAGAAAATACATTACTTCCACTGACCCGAGTGAGTGCCACCAGTTACCATGTATGGAGAATTTGGAGGTAAAGCATCACAAAAATGCCACGAAAAGAGCAAAAATAATGTCTCCTTTCCTGTACACCAGTGGTTCCCAACCCTTTTTTGACCAGGGACCACTTTGACCAGGGACCACTCTCCAACATGAGTATCAAAAGGGTTACGAATCAGTTTTTAGTCAATTTTAGTGTCAGTTTGGTTATTTGGGGTGCTGATTCAGGAAACTGCATTGGAAATACAACATCAGCTCTAGCTTCTGATACAGAACATATGCCATCCAGGAGTCACCATCTGTTCACCCACAGAAAACCATATTTAATGATCTAGAGCCTCGGACCTTATTTTAGGTCTCATGGCCCACTTCCACAGGTTGAAAACCACTGCTGTACACTTAATCTCCGCATATTGCAGCCTACAAAAATTACTCCCTCCATCTCTCAGAAGTCCCATATTTTCACTCCATTCATGCACAGGGCACCTTAGCACTCTGGATGCGTGGTGGCGAATCAGGACTATGTCCAGTATTGCAATCCATACTGCCAGAACGATCCAACAGGAAGATGAATTCCCCAGTAGCATTCTGACCTGTCTTCGTGGTTGTGACATTGGGATACAAGGTAAGCAAAAGTGCTGGGTCACCCATCAGCGAACCTGTGTTTTGAAGGAAGCAGAACATCCAAAGAAGGATTTTTAACCCATAGTGGTGCTTTATTTGCTCTATAGCAGCCTATTGCAATTCAAATCCACAGGATGTCACCTTAGCCTTTACTCACCAGGGGCAACTCCGGCCTTTCCTGCTTCAAGGAAGGCACTGGGCTTGTGAACATCCTCATAATAAATCAGGAGCTCCACATCTCGGTCAAACTGATGCCCTTCAGCCAAGGAGACCTTTGGGATGAAGATGACAAACAAAACATCATGTAAACTGACTTTCTGATGAGCTCTCTCTCTCATCTGTTTTCCTCTCATTCTCATCTGGAAGGATACATTCAGTATACAAGACAAACAGGGAGATAAAATATAGCCAGTTGGAAACCATTCAATTTCATTGTATTCTGTCCTGACAGTGGTCTCTTGTCTTGCATACCAACCTTATTTCAATTCAAAATCCAGTTTTTGTCAAAACAGGACACTTATTTACTGTATTTTCTGGGGTATAAGACTACTTTTTAACCCAGGAAAATCTTCTCAAAAGTCGGATGTTGTCATACACTGGGTGTCATCTTATAGGGTGGGCGCTGAAAATTTCGAGCCAAACTGGAGAATCTGTGGTCGCCGCACATGGTGGTGGTGGTGGTGGGAGCTCAAAAAATGGCCATGGCAGCATCGTATGCAGCAACTGTATGAAAGCAGTAAGGGTGGCACTGCATAAGTTTAGGTAGAAGAAAATCCACTCATTAGAATTCATGGAAAGAAGTGACTTAATCTGATGACGAGGTGAGGGGGAGCCTCACCAGGAAGGTGTAAGTGGAGCAAGCTGCAGGTGTCTGGGATGCACGGAGTATGGAAAAAAGAGATAGAGCAGTGCTGTGCCCAGAAAAACACACCTCTTTCACCTATCTAGCTTGCCCTTGTATCCTATTACTGCACCTCCTTCTCTGCCTCTCAGATCTCGCTCCTGAGGACTGCAGTGAAGCGGCACAGGCGTGCATGTACAAAATCTGAGAGGCAGAAAAGGAGATATGATAGTAAGAACATTACCATATTGAAATCAAATCTGATGGGTTTTTTTTTAAAAAAAATTATTTGGTGTACGTTGGAAGAGGGGTAGTCTTATACGGTGAGTATATCCCAAACTCTATATTTTAACTGGAAAAGTTGGGGGTCATCTTATACACCCAGTCGTCTTATACGCCAGAAAATTTATTTATTTATTGCATTTATACACTGCTTTTCTCACTCCCGGGGGGACTCAAAAAGGTTCACAACACAATCAATGGCAAATTGTCTCACATTTATAAACATGACATATCAAATCGATAACAAATGACAACAGATCAACCTATCAGATTATAACAACAATCACAGATACAATATAAAAGATTTAGGCCTTGTATCAATCCCAGTGTCTTAATTGTCTTCCATTTATTTCTGTTGTCATTTTGATGGGCTGATACAGTCCCAGAGTGTCCTGGGAAGCAGGACTAATGGAGCTTGTCTATGCTTGTTCTTAATCTACAAGGTTTCACTCTGGATTTAAACGACCACAATGTTTCTCACACCCTATGCATACTTTTTTGTTAGCATGGTAAAATTTGTGCTCTGGCACACATTTACTCTATAGCACTATTTGCTCATGCAGACCGATAGCATTGTAATGGGATTAACTCCATGAATCCAGCCTGCCTTGTGATATCAGCATGTGATCTCATGGGGACAGAAGGCTGGTGCATTCTCTTTTAAACCTAGTGAAGCTATACCTGCTAAACTAGTCTTGCAGTTATGTGACAGCCCAACAAAGAAGTATAAAAGCCACCAGATTATGATGTTTTCAATGTACCTTTCCCTACCTGCAAAGGCTAACTGCCACCTTATGATTCATAGATATGAGTCAGTGAACTATTATACAAAGCCCATTTATTACACTATTCAATAAAAATGGGAAAAGTTTCTGTTCTTGGTTTGGAAGTATTATTTCCTGTTTAATTTTGCAGTACTTCCTTTAAATGAGTTGTTATACTCCAGAAACTTCTTTTTTGTGGCCGACACAAACTATGTTGAATTGGTTGAGACTCTATTAATTGAAAAACTTTAGCAAAATGTGCTGCAGGATGTTCCACAAAAATAAAGTTTTGGCACTTTAATAATCCTTTCCCATGCTTTGATGATAGAACCAATTAAGAAATGACATTTATAACCCAGGAACAAAAAAAATTGTGTTACATACTGCTCGTGGATGTTAGTGGCCCATTCTTTCTCAAAATGGTAAAGCCAGGATTTTGAGCCGAGTTGGGGATAGCTGTCTAAATGTCCAATCTCCACATAACGTTGACCACTGACCATAGTGGCTCAGGGCTTTCCACTCCTGATTTGCATCCAAATTAGGCATATATTGCCTGCTGTTATTTATTTTTCACAGCTGAATTATCAAAATCAAATAGATAGCTATCACGAGGGAGACAGTGATGAGGATCAGATCCATGACATGGGAACAGCAGGAAATTAAAGACTAGATACAATCCCCCTCCGCACATTTTCCTCTCATTATCTGCATGGTGGCTATTTTGCAATACTTCGATTGCTAAGGGCAGACTTGAGAACATGCTGATACAAATTTGGACCAACACAAAGCATTAATATCTCCCCGTTTGTGTCCCATGATCCCAATCCAGGTCATCATGATGTTGGCTATTTGCTTTGGAATCTGCCTCACAAAGCCCAAGAATGGGAATATTTCTACCATGGCCTGTAAGATTCACCATAAATGGTCCTGATTTTAGGTGAGATGCATATAGACTTTGCAATAGAGAATGAAAAGAAAGGCACGCTAATTTTCCAAAAAGGTCAACAACTCAGTTTGTCAATAGACTTACCTGGGCACTGGTCCGGTCCTCTAGTATGTAGCGGAGTGGGTCAAGGGTGCATTTTGATTCTACACGGTTGATGCCATAAGTGGACTCTACAGTGGCATTCAGACTAAGTGTGTAGGGAAGTTGTCCTTTGGGCATCCGTGGTACAGACTTGGTTACACTGTCTCCTTCTGATCCTGAGGACAGAGACACAACACAACTCAGTGGACAATGTGTATCAAGAGAATAATAACCAGGTTAGAGTAATCTGCTAGTTTAACTGTATTTTCACATTCAAATTCTTTAAATCCCCATATCAATTTTAAAGAAATTACAGATACTGACTCAATTCTTGGCCGAAACAAGCTTATCAAAAATGTCACAACTCATCTGAGCTGATTAGATTCACGTGTCACAGCTGTTCCTAGTAGATAGAGGACTAGTCTGCTGTGTAACTTTTAAAAGACAATGAATAGCTCAGAAAAATCCCTTGGTGATCTTACTTTGTACAACAAACATAGGGATTCAAATACACATTTTAAAGATTTTGCAAAAAAAATCCTCTGCCTGGATGACAGAGTTGCCAACCTTGTTCTACATTCAAATTATTTTAAACCTCATGTTCTTTCCACTATGTTTGTGAATCTTGGAAAGTTCTGCTGAAAATCCTAAACTGAGCATCATGACAAACTGCACTGCAGACTATATGATACACAGGCCTAGGATCAAAAGAAGCATAGGAAACATAACTGCATGAGATAGAAATACCATCAGAGAAGAACTTATACCAGAAAAGATGCAGTATGACTGAGCCAAGACTTAGGTTTGGTCTGCAGAGTTTCAGAAGAAAAGCTTTAGAAGCTTGCTCTAAGCTTCGACATGACATCCTTTCATACATTTAAACATAGCTATTATGTCTCTTCTTAACCTTCTGTTCTCCAAGCTAAACATTCACAGTTCCCTAAGCCATTTCTCACAGGGTTTAGCTTCCAAACCATTCACCATTTTGGTTGCATTCTTCTGGACCTGTGATAACCTACAAAGCCCTAAACAGTTTGGGTCCTGCCTATCTTCGTGACCACATCCCCCGCCCCTCATGAACTGGCACGGGCTCTAAGATCCGTCAAGGAGGCCCTTGGTTGTTGTAGGTTTTTTCGGGCTACATGGCCATGTTCTAGAGGCATACTCTCCTGACCTTTCACCTGCATCTATAACAAGCATCCTCAGACGTTGTGAGGGAGGCCCTCCTCTCGGTCTCACCACAGTCACAAGCTTGGTTGGTGGGGACAAGGGAGAAAGCCTTCTTGTTGGTGGCCCCCCAGCTCGGCAACGCCCTCCCCAGGGAGATTAGGCAAGCCCCCATACTGTCCTCCTTCCATATGGACCTGAAGACCTGGCTGTTCAAACAAGCTTTTGAGAACGCCCAGTCCCTACTTGATCTATGCAATTATTATGTAGTCTTACACTTCATCCCATGCTCTCTTCCCATGGTTACAGCTTTGCACTTATCCCATTCCCTGTCCAATTGTTTACAGCCTGGCCACATTTACAGTAGTTTACCACCATTGGTTGATGAGCACTGTTTTAATTGAGGTTTAACTGGTTGCTTTATATGTCTATATGTTTTATTCAATAGGATTTTTAATTGTGTTTTATTTTATGTTTTGTTTTCAGGTACCTTGTGCTGTGGGTCCCTACAGGGAGATGGTGGTGGGATACAAGAATAAAGTAGGCATTATTATTATTATTATTATTATTATTATTATTATTATTATTAGAACTGTACAGAGGATTCCAGGTAAAGTCTAACCAAAGGAGAATAGAGTGGCACTATTATTTTCCTCTGTCTCTTGTTGATGCAGACTAAAATTGTATTTGCTTGTTTAGCTGCTGTATCATATTCAGCTTGTGGTTGACTAAGACTCCTAGGTCCTTTTCACATGCACTGCTGTCAAAACAGTTGTCATTCATTCTGCATTTCAGTGTCTAACTTTGCCTAAGTAGATGAGAGAGATTACTTCTTTTTCAAGATTTTAAAATAGTATTTAAAGAATTTCTAATGCCAAATAACATTATAAAGGGCAGACCTCCACTTGCTGTCTGGAGTAGTATGTTGCAAGTAAGAACCTCATTCTGCGACATGCACAGAGCAATTCATAATGGATGTGTGCATGGAGGGAATGTGTCCATCCACACATTTCCACCGGACATGAGTTTGGAGCTTCTAAGAAATGAAATCCTAAAGATCTCAAGGGTCAAAGTGTGTGGATCAAAGGAGGTTCCAAGACTCTGGCCCACTGGTGCTGTATGTCTGTTCCTCTCTGTACAAAGCTAGAAGTAAGATCTAGACATGTGGATATGAGTTTTGGGTGGGTGGATGGGGGTAATCTGAGATGTACCTCAGCTCAGACCAATTTTGGGGAAGTAGCAAGGAGAGTAAGAGCCAATTTATGCTGCTTGACGTTTTTATCAGGAGCCTAACTCCTACATTTGGAGATGCAGAATGTTACCTCGTGGCACATAGCGAGGGTTCAGAACAGCAGGCAGGACAAAACGGATGGCTCCATCAGGCTCTGGAGCTAAAGCTTGGACATAGCGCAGCTTCAGTGTGGCCTCCCCTTCAGGAGGAAGATTCCCCAAACTGATGGTGAAAATGTCACTGGTGTTTTCTTCCCTTTCGAGTAGGAAAGCCTCACGGCCTTCGGTCACGGCATCCTCATACTCTTGCTCTGCCTGAAATGGATGGAGGACAAGAGACAGCAAGAAAGAAAACTCGAGGAATGAAGAAATCAACAATATGGTTATAATGAAGGACTTTCCTGAACTGTAAAACAACTTGGAACTTTTGACTCATTGGTTTTCAACTACTGATGGCTTTCCATGCATGTGGAAGTTGATTGAACACATAAAGCTTTCCAGACATTTATTTATTCATTCTCTTTCATGTAATGTATATTCTCACCTTTTTCCTAATATGGGACCCAAGCTGGCACTCCTTGTATCGATGTGGCGATACTGTAATATATTTTCTGTTTTACTTCAAAAATGAGGACACTATGTTCCCCAAAGATGTATTCTTTTTTGGTATCACATACCTGCTTCTTCTCTCGGATCTGGGCCTCAATGCGTGTCCCTCCAATCACACCCTCAAAAGCATATACGGCAGCTTCATCTTCCAGAGGAAAGACAAAGACAGCCTCCACTGGGTTCTTCTCCTCATTCTTGTACTGAAGCTCAGACACCACATCGGCTATGAAGCCCTGAACCAACACATCCACAGAGATACTTTTTAAAGGCACTAGGACAAGGAAACAGGGAAGTAAACTAGTTACTTCAAGGATACTATTATTATTTTACTGAAACAAAAACACAGTATGTCACAGCAAACAAGATATATAGATGCTGGATTTCGTATCACATCATCACAAGTCAAACACTTCCCAAGCGTCTAGGACTGTGTGATGTATTTTCGAATGACGTGCACAGATCCAAGTAAGGTGGCATTTTGCAGTTGACTGATCATTTTGTCAATGTTTATTGTTTCCAAATGCTGGCTGAGATCTTTTGGCATGGCACCCAGTGTGCTTACCACTGGGACCACCTGTACTGGTTTATGCCAGAGCATTTGCAGTTCGATTTCGAGGTCTTGATAATGGCTGAGTTTTTCCTGTTGGTTTTCCTCAATGCGACTGTCACCTGGTATGGAGACATCAATAATCCAAACTTTTTTTCTTTTCCACAATCGTGATGTCTGCTGTATTGTGTTCCAAAACTTTGTCAGTCTGGATTCGAAAGTCCACAGTTTTTTTGAGTGATCATTTTCTATTACCTTTCCAGGTTTATGATCCCACCAATTCTTTTCTACTGGCAGGTGGTACTTGTGACATAAGTTTATTTTATTTATTTATTTATTTATTTATTTACAGTATTTATATTCCGCCCTTCTCATCCCTCAGGGGACTCAGGGCGGATTACAGTGTACACATATATGGCAAACATTCAATGCCAATTGACATACAACATATACAGACATACACAGAGGCTATTTAACTTTTCTGGCCGCCAGGGAGCTGTCGCTTTCATCGTCCATCTGCAATGCTGATGAAGCACTTCCGCATTCCCCGCATGCTTCCCCGCTGGAATGCTTTGCTGGAGTCTTTTTTATGGCCTCATAAATTAGTTAATTTAGCCTCCCCACACTTTAAGGTGGTACCTAATTTTCCTACTTGACAGATGCAACTGTCTTTCGGGTAGCAAAGGTCGACAACAGGCTACACAATTGGTTGGAAGCCCACTCCAACCCGGGCTGGCTTCGAACTCATGACCTTAATGCAGCTGACACTCAGCCAGCTGCACCACAATCCCGGTTATTATTATTATAATCCTATTATTATTATTATTATTATTATTATTATTATTATTAATATTATTATTATCCACTTTTTTTCTCAGGACAAAACGACTCACAACTTTAAAACCTATAAAAGATAAAGACACTTATGTCTTGCCTAAATTTTTAGCTTGCTTCTAAAAAGGAGGGAGCCATCCTAGCCCTCCCGGGAAGCCGGTTACAGAGCCCAGTAACAGAGTGCTTCCTTGTGTCCCATCCAACTACATATCTGGGAGAAGGGCCTCTCTTGATGATTTCAGAATCTGGGTTGTACTAGGAGATACACCCTGCCAAACAGCCTGGACCTGTGCCATATAGGGTTTTAAAGGTCATAAAAAGCACTTTGAAACAGACTGGCAGCCAACAAAAAGCTTGTATGCTCCCTATAGCCAGCCCCAGTTAACAATCTGGCTGCAGCTGTTTGGACAAGCCAAAGTTTTCAAATGCCCTTCAAAGGCACCCTCAACTAGACCTGTTATAGTGATCCAAATAGGATGCTACTAAGGCATGTATCACTGTGGCCAGATCCACAGTGTCTCAAGAAACGGGTACAGTTCAGGAAACATATGACTCTTGGCCATTGCAGAAACCTCCGCCTCTAGGTTCAGTGCTGATTCAAGGAGTACCCAGAAACTAACGTGGGCTTGCCCATTCTGATTATCATTTGGATGGATCCTTCTCCAAACACCTTGACTTTTCAAGACTAGGTCAACCAGTTGAATGGATGAAGAGCTAGATTATAGTAGCAATTTTAAGCTGCACACAGTGTCTAGTACCAAGCTTACAGTTTCAAGCAATAGGCATTCATCATTCTGCAAACACTTCACTGAATAATCACAGAGAGGAGATCACCTGGTTGCTTCGACTGGGTCAGAAGGCCACAGATAACTGTCATGGCCGATGATGATCTCTGAAACAAAAAGAAAGGCCACATGACACATCCGTTAGCTGCGGAAAACAACCATTGTACTTCTGCTTTTATTTTTGTTTGGCCGGCTGCCCAGAGATCATGCGCTCCTCTTTCTCTCCTTTTCTATAGCAGTGGGCATTAGCTTTGTGGGGGGGGGGGGTCTAGTTTTTGTACCTTATGAGAGAAAGGATCCTGCAGGGCAGGCTGGTGAACCCATGATTTCCCAGATCTTGAGGGACTACAACTCCCAATCAGTCCTAGGACTGTAGCTAATGATGAGGGATGAGTGAAGGGAGTTGCTGCCATGAGCATCTTTATTTCTCCAGGGTCCATCTACACTGCCATATCATGCAGTTTGAAAATGCATTACATGGTTATAGCTAGTGTATACTCATGTAATGAATTTTTCCTTGAACTGCATTATGACTCTACATTGACCAAAGACTGCAGGAACGCCATTGCTCTCATGACTCTGTTTTCTAGTTTGTGGGTTCTCAACACAAACTAGAAAACTGAGTCATAGAAGCAATGGTATTCCTGCCTCAACCTCTAATATACAAAGAATCAGTGGCTTGGCAAACATATATGGAACAAAGCCAACCCATGGTCACTCCTTAATGCACAACTTCACTTGTGCTGCTTCAAAGCAATGCATAGAGTTTATTGATCTTCCTAGAGAAAACTGAGTCACCTCCTATATAGGGGTGTAGTTACAGAGAGGGAGGAGAATGAGGCCATTGTCCCTCCAAGTAAGAATTCTAACTCTTCTAATGACCTTTTCATTTAGTTCCCAAATGTGTAGCATTGCAAAGAGACACTGAAAATCATCCACGTTTAGGATCCTGACACGGGTTAAACATCTTCTATTTGATATTCTGATATACTCCACAATCCGTAATTTTCCGCCAGGGTGGCTGAGATAGTGACACATTGGCTTTCTGATGGTTCAATGGACATAAACTTTGTTTCATGCACAAAATTATGAGAAGTATTGTATAAAACAGTGTTTCTGAACCTGGCAGGGTCGCCAGGGGGTGTCAGAGGGGTCGCCAAAGACCATCAGAAAACACAGTATTTTCTGTTGGTCATGGGTGCTCTGTTTGGGAAGTTTGGCTCAATTCTTTCATTGGTGGGGTTCAGAATGCTCTTTGATTGTGGGTGAACTATAAATCTCAGCAGCTACAACACTCAAATGTCAAGTCTATTTTCCCCAAACTCCACCACAGTGTTCATATTTGGGCATATGGAATATTCGTGCCAAGTTGGTCCAGATCCATCATTGTTTGAGTCCACAGTGCTCTCTGGATGTAGGTGAACTACAACTCCAAGGTCAATACCCACCAAACCCTTCCAGTATTTTCTTGTTGATCATGGGAGTTCTGTGTGTCAAGACTGGTTCAATTTCATCATTGATGGAGTTCAGAATGCTCTTTGATTGTAGGTTAACTAGAAATCCCAGCAACTACAACTCACAAATGACAAAATCAATGCCCCTCCAACTCCACCAGTAGTCAAATTTGGGCCTATCATGTATTTGTGCCAAATTTGGTCCAGTGAATGAAAATACATCCTGCATATCAGGTATTTTCATTACGATTCATAGCAGTAGCAAAATTACAGTTATGAAGTAGCAATGAAAATAATATTATGGCTGGGGGGTCACCACAATATGAGGAGTCGTGGCATTAGGAAGGTTGAGAACCATTACTATAGAATTACCTTCAGGCTATGTGTGTAAGGTATATAAGAAACATACACAAATGTCATGTTTACACTTGAGTTCTGTTTCTAACTCTACGTACATGCCAATACAGGTACTGCAAAATCCAAAATCTAAAACATTTCTCATCCAAAGTGTTTTGGATAAGGGATACTCAACCTATATTTCCTCTGATTAATTTTTCCTGTCCCTTTACTTTGGATAAAAAGCCCTCTGTTTTTAAATGTTCAAGTTACGACTATACTAGAACTTTAGGACTCAAGGAAAAGTTCACAGAGGAGGAAGAATTCTTATTTTTCTCCCTCTTACAGGTTTGCCACTGCATGTGTTTTCAGGGTAACTTGTTTGGAATCCAGCTGGTTGGAAGATAGAGCAGTATGCAGCCATCTATATTTGCAGCTTGGATTTTTGTGGATGTGATTCTTCACAAATTAGATTAATAATGTTCTCTCTAGGAATCTCTAGGTCCTTCAGTGTGACTCTATGATCAACCTCTTCCAACCATGCTGGAAGATATAGATTTCTAGAGAGAACACCTTTTGGGAATTTCTAGGTTCTACAATACAATTCCACAGTGTTATGCATTACAATACTGAGAGTAAGGTTCTGATTCTGAGCTGATATGGCTTTGGATAGCATAGAGAAGGGTTAATCTCATTGTTGTGTTTGTTTTGTTGCCTGTGCCCCTTATTTCACCTCACTCTATCCACACAGCTGAATAAAATCCCACATTTTCTGCTTTGAACTGGAATATATGGCAGATAACCCAGTTCAAAGCAGATATTGTGGGATTTTCTGCCTTGATATTCTGGGTTATATGGCTGTGTGGAAGCCCTTAAAGGGTTTTTATTTTCTGTTAAAGAACAGAATACAGAAACATGGGAATACAGCCTTCCGAGAGACACCTTTCCCTCATGATAACTCTTTCAGGAGTGAATTTCCTTTCTGAGAGGTAAATTTCGCTTATTTCCTGTTCTTAACTATGAGTCATTTGTAAGTCGGATGTCTGTAAATTGGGGACTGCCTATATACGTCCCTTCAGATGACACTGAATGCTAACATCCACCACTCCAGCAATGGTGGCTAAAACTCATAGATGATCAAGTCAAACATTATCAGGACAACTTAACTTTATTTCCACCATATAGAGTGCTATACTTTTGCACCATTCATGCTATACAATTATAGTGCTAGCAGGGTGTAGTAGTTTTAATGTTGGACCGCGACTCAAGGAACTGTGGTTTGAATCCTGCTTGGTTATGATCCTAGACCAGTGGTTCTCAACCTGTGGATGTTTTGGCCTTCAACTCCCAGAAATCCTAACAGCTGGTAAACTGGCTGGTATTTCTGGGAGTTGTAGGTCAAAATACCTGGGGACCCACAGGTTGAGAACCACTGCCCTAGACAAATCACATTATCTTTGCCTCTTAGGAAGGCAATGGCAAACCTCACTGGCCAACACACATGTTGGTGCTTCAAATATTAGCCCCGTGTTTGAGTATATTTGACCTGCTGATTCCAAAAATGGCCCCCCTTCTGTCCCTATCAATCCTAGTTTTTGACATACAGAACAAATGCTATATACTAGAGGTGTGCAAAATGGCAGAAATTGTTTTGGTTTCGTTTTAAATTTCAGATCCTCTCTCATTTTGTTTTGGAAAAAAATTGGAAGATTCAGAGGGGTGTTTTGATTCATAATTCAAAATCCGGAGTTTCAGTATCACTTGGTAAGATTCGGTATATTAGTGCCAATGGGGAGACTTACGAGGCACGTTTTTCTGTCATTTTAATGGCTCTCAGGATAAAACTTGCCACACTTGTAGAACACATTGATGACTGTACACCTGCCAAGTTTCAGAATGTTTGCGTCATTTACTGATTTTAAGGAAATGTTTAAAGTTTCTGCAAATAAAATTTCCTTAAGAGCTTAGTTGTTTATTTGTTCGGTCGTTTCTGACTTCGTGACCTCATGGACCAGCCGATCCCAGGCGCCAGACCTCCTTCAAGGTCAAGCCAGTCAAGTCACTTCAAGGAGACCATCCATCCATCTTGCCCTTGGCTGGCCCCTCTTCCCTTTCCTTCTGTTTTCTCCACCATCACTATCTCCTCCAAGATACCTGTCTTCTCATTATGTAGTCAAATTATTTCATCCTTGCCTTTAATATCCTTCCATCCAGCGAGCAGTAGAGCTTTATTTCCTGGAATATGGACTGGTTTGATCTTCTTTAAGATGTATCCCCTTGAATTTCTCCACAGTGACAGAAATGTATATTTGTTGTTGTTTATTCATTCAGTTGCTTCCGACTCTTCGTGATCTCATGGACCAACCCACAGCAGAGCTCCCTGTTGGCCGTCACCTCCCCCAGGTCCTTCAGGGTCAAGCCAGATACCATCCATCCATCTTGCTCTTGGTCGGCCCCTCTTCCTTTATGTCTTCTCATTATGTGGCCAAAGTACTTCATCTTTGCCTCTACTATCCTTCCCTCCAGTGAGCAGTTGGGCTTTATTTCCTGAAGTATGGACTAGTTGGATCTTCTTGCAGTCCAAGGCACTCTCAGAACCTTCCTCCAACACCACAGTTCAAAAGCATCTATCTTCTTCCTTTGCTCAGCCTTCCCTATGGTCCAGCTCTCAAATCCGTAGGTAACTATGGGGAATACCATTGCTTTTACTATGCGGATCTTCGTTGCCAGTGTGAAGTCTCTACTTTTCACTATTTTATCGAGATTGGACATTGCTCTCCTCCCAAGAATTATTTTCATTACAGGAGACTAGAATGCTAAGGTGGGTAGTCATATGACAAGTGGGATCACAGGCAAGCATGTTCTGGGACAATCAAGTGAAGCGAGATGTAGGCTGATAGAATTTTGCCAGGAAAACTCACTGTGTATAACGAATACTCTCTTCCAACAACCTAAAAGATGGCTCTATACATGGACTTCACCAGATGGGCGACACCGAAATCAGATTGACTACATCCTTTGCAGCCAAAGGTGGAGGACATCCATCCAGTTGGTGAAAACAAGACCTGGGGCTGACTGTAGTTCACATCACGAACTTCTTATTGCTCAACTTAGAATCAGACTAAAGAGATAAGGAAAAACACACAGACCAGCTAGATATGATCTCACTAACATTCCTAGCGAATATGCAATGGAGGTGAAGAAAAGATTTAAGGGACTAGATTTAATAGAGTCCCAGAAGAACTATGGACAGAAGTCCGAGACATTGTTCAGGAGGCGGCAACAAAGTACGTCCCAAAGAAAAAGAAAACCAAGAAGGCAAAATGATTGTCTGCTGAGACACTGGAAGTAGCCCAAGAAAGGAGGAAAGCAAAAGGAAACAGAAATGTATATATCACTGTCTCTCTCTATATATACCACTCTTCATCTGCTCACCCATAGAAAATCATTATAAGAATATTTAAGAAACGAGAGCTGTAGCAGTTTATACAATGCGATTTTCTGAATCGCTGCTCAAAACAACTCAGTGAGTGAGGCTAAAAACCAATACACGAAGAAAAATAATTTTGGGGGGTTTGGCAATGGCTCCCTCGAATGGAATATTAGGATTTGTAGTTTGGCAAGGTGCTTCAACTCTTGGCTGAACATCCTAAAGACCCAAACTCTAAAGACAGCAACCTAAACCCACCAAAAAGCCCCAGGATCCCTCAGAAGTTGAACCATAGTGATAAAAATAAAACTCACCCTGCAGATCCCAACTGGTTTGCAGCTGCTTCTTCACTGCTTTCAGCAGCAGAAAGGCAGAGCTGAAAGCGAAAGTGAGCATTTCCCCCTTTGGCTGGGTTCAGTGTACTTTCCCGTTATCCCCGCCTCTCTGTAAGGGAAAGGCCACAAATTCCTACGCTGGTATGAATCCTCACCCTTCGTTGCGTAATTGTAGCTTTTCAGGGTGAGGCAGATTGACAGCAATGGAGAAAGGAGATCTGCAGCTAAAGGCCAAACAGAAACTGCCTCATCGTTTGCTTTGGAGATGGTCCAAAAGGAGTCCATAGAATGGAAGAAACAAAGGCCGCATCTACACTGTAAAATTAATGCAATTTGACAGCAGTTGTGTAATTTCTTTTTGTATTTTCTGGGGGAAAATTTAATTGGTTTGGGTAAGTCATCATGATTTCACTGCTGACTCCAGATGGTGGCGCCTAAGGTTCAGGTAAAAAAGCAAAGTAGATCCTGAGAGGTAGGGCACAGGTGCATTTTACATCCAGTTTCTGCCTCCTGCATAATTCTGGTGTTTGTAATTAAGTGCGGCCCAAGATCTGTGGTTTAGGCCCCTTCCTAAACTACAAGTCCCAGAATACTGCAGGAGGCAGAAACTGGATTTCAAGTGGACCCATGCGCTAGTGTGATGAAGTCCTAAGTCTTCTCACTTTGCACACAGGCTACAGTAGATATCTGGACCAGTTCTACCACAGAGGTATCAAATTTGCGGCCCTCCAGATGTTTCAGCTTTCAGCTTCCAGAAGCCCTAGCCAGCTTGTCCAAAGGCCAGGAATTCTGGGAACTGAACCCCCAAACACTTGGAGGGCCACTAGTTCGACAACACTGCATTAGGGAAAGGGGTGGGTGGGGAAGAAAAGATGCCTCAGGCAACAGACTGGTGGACAGAACATTGCATATTCATCATCATAGACAACCACTTGTGGCAAAGTATGGCATTGAGGCAGTGACTGTGGAAACTTACTCTGGATGTGCATGGTCTTTCATACTGAGGGACATAGATTTCCAGATGGAAGGCAGTCACGTCAATACAGCTGAATGGCGTATATTATATAGCAGTTGTGGGCAACTTCCGGAGGGGGGGGGCGCATGTAGATTGCCAAAAATATCAAACAGTGACCCACCTCTGAAAACAGAACTGAGCAGAAGCTGTAATTGAAAAATCAGTACATTCTAATTATTAAACAATACATGGGTACTTTTAATACTGGTTGTATTGATGTTGCATGGCTTTGAGTCCGCTTTGACATAAAATGACCCAATTATAGGTAGTCTTGGTTTGATTTGTTCAGAGAGGGTCCTTTTTTAAGGCTAGGAGAGCGTGACTTGTTGGTTATTTGCTTTGAACTGGGTATCAGACTCCACACTGCCATATAACTCACTTCAAAGCAGATAATGTGGGATTTTATACAATCAGGGATAAGCAGATAATCTGGGATCCGATCCTGGGGTATAAAGACAGTATAGAAGGGGTCTGAGTTTCCACTGGGATTCACACACTGTTCTCCCAAAGCCCTAGTCCAACACACAAACTATTGGGCCATTCTAGCTATCTCTCCTACTCTTAGCACTAGTCAAAACAGTGATAAAAATAAGATTCAAACTGATAAACCATTAGAACATCCTATACCAGACATAACTGTTTCTGAGAAACAGAAAATATGGATTAAGCCAGCCAATACACATTTTGGTGCCTCAAGAAACTCTGTTTCTTGGTATACTTGACCCGCTTATTGCAAAAATGGCACCACTGTCCCTTTATCAACTCTAGTTTTTGAGATATGGAACATATGCCATATACCAGTCGTCATCTGCTTACCCATAAAAATCATGATAACCATATCTAAACAAGAGCTGATGTTATCTATCTATCCAATGGAATTTTCTGAATTGGAGTTTTTTTTTTTTTTGTTGGGCTGTGTTATAGGTGCATCAGTCTTTGGGCACAGAAAGATTGAATACAGAGAGAGAGAGAGAGAGAGAGAGAGAACATCCTTTTGTAGGCCTACAAAAGAAAATATGTGGTGGAGGTTCCTTCTTTGGAGGTTTTTAAATGGAAGCTGGATGGCCATCTGTCGGGGTGCTTTGAATGCGATTTTCCTGCTTCTTGGCAGGAGCTTGGATTGGATGGCCCATGTCATCTCTTCCAGCTCAATGATTCTCTGATTCTAGTGGTGATAGGTGCCTGGAAGCAATTCCAATTGGACTAACAAAACGTTGGAATGAAGTTGCTATAGATAGAATCATTATGGTTCAATTAGAAAAGAAAAGTGACATTGCTTGGAATATGGCAAATTCTCTGATAATATCGTTCTGATTCCCACATTCTTGGATAGATCCAAAGTCATTGATAGTCCAAAACCCCAATCAGGAACACCTGGAAGACAATGGAATGAATGATGATGATTGATGTTGATAATATTTGAATGTTCTATAGCAGAGGTGTCAAACTTGTGGCCCTCCAGATGTTTGGGTCTTTAACTCCCAGAAGCCATAGCCAGCTTGACCAAAAGCCAGGAATTCTGGGAGTTGAAGTCCAAAACACTTGGAGGACTACAAGTATGACACCACTACTCTATAGCAGTGGTTTCCAAATTTTTTTTGACCAGGGATCACTTGACCAGAGACCACTCTCTAACATTAGTACCAAAAGGGTTACGAATCAGTTTTTGGTCAACTTTAGATTTGGTTTGGTTATTTGGGGTGCTAATTCAAAAAATTGCATTGGATAGACCACATCAGCTCTAGTTTCTGATACAGAACATATTCCATCCAGTAGTTGCCATCTGCTCGCCCACAGAAAACCATATTTAATAAGCCTTGGCACTATAAAAGGGTTTCACACGACCAGTTGCTCTTGTTGCAATGGTGTAGTAATGGTGAGACCACAGACCATATTTTAGTTCTTGTGAACCATTGTTGGTCCATGGACCATAGGTTGGGAACCACTGCTCTATAGTGTCAGTTGTATAGGGTGACCAAAATGAGGACCCTGCAGTAGGCTTACAAACTGTTAGTACAAGGGCTAATTCTCGACTCCTAACAGACATTTGCTTTCCTTCTGCTAAAGATCACTCTATACAAGGCTGTTCAAAGATATAGGTGCATTTTTAGTATTACCACCTGAGCTTTCTTATGATGGATCTTCCCTTTTTTATTGCAACAGCTCCATTGGCTGCTGGTCTGTTTACAGATACAATTCAAAAGGCTTGTTTTGACTTATACAGTCATATATGGCTTAGATCCAGGCTATTTGAAGGACTGTATTTCCCTTTCTGAACTCATTATAGTCCAAAGATGTTATGGGGAGGTCCTTCTCTCTTTCCCACCACTTTCTCAGGGTTGTTTGGTGGGACCAAAAGAGAGGGGGGCTACTCCCAGATTTAGGAACACCCTCCTTAGAAAGGAGAGAATGCCTCTTTTCTTCCTTCCTTCCTTCCTTCCTTCCTTCCTTCCTTCCTTCCTTCCTTCCTTCCTTCCTTCCTTCCTTCCTTCCTTCCTTCCCACCTTCCTTCCTTTCTGCAAGTTAAAATATTTGTATGCCCTCTTACCTTTAGATACCAACAAGAGAGAACATTTTATTCAAATCTGTGCATAATCAAATCTGCAAAATTCAAACCACCAAAAGTAGAGGGCTGGGTTTAGTTATTTCTGAGCTATATATACCTTCAGTACTGTATACTCAGTTTCTGAGAAAAGCAAACCACTTAGATATATAGCACACCACACAGGAAATATATCTTGTGGCTCCCATGTCATTGGGGAACAGGCTACTATGTAGCAATATTAAATTATATCAGTTTGTACACAGAGGGTCCTTAGTATCTGGTGGAATTTAATTCCATGACCTCCCACTCCTCCGTGGATACCAAAATCTCTGGGTGCTCAAGTTCCATTATATATCATGATGTAATAAAATGGTATCCCTTATAGAAAATGGCAAAATCATTTTTGTATTATTTTGGGGAATATTTTCAAGCTGCGAATGGTTGAATCTGTGAATGCCCAATCCATAGATATGGAGGGCTGGCTATTCCGTTACATTCATTTTGAAGGATTGCATTTTGGATAACTTTAGGACTAAAACCTTGGGCGGATGAGCACCCTTCTGACATGGATGCCGCTAGCCACTCCGGGGAAATATAGATGTTTTTGCACAAATGAATGCTGGCAGGCTTTGGAAGTGTCCCAGAGTGACTCATCTGCTTTGCGTCTCACTTACAGTACTATTTATGAGCACAATTCCAGGGAAACCGGCTCTACAAGAGCCCAGGTTTTTTCTGGGTTGCTCCCATAAGAGGTGAGAGGAAGCTGTAGCATGGGATAAAGTATGCGGAGGAGATGGGAGGGAAGCTGGATTTACAGGAAGGAAACCAGAGGAGCTACAATGTCCTGGGTTTTTGGTTTTCATGCTTAGCATTTCTGCTTTCCTGTTATATAAGAGACAAACAAGGTTCCGATCACGTAAACTACCGCTATGATTCATATTCTAGAGCACATGTACCAAACTCAAGGCCCACGGACTGAATTCAGTCTGCCATGTGATTTTATGTGGCCCTCCAGACGGTGGACTATTCCTCATCATTAGACATCCTGACTAGAGCAGATAGGAGTTGTGATATAGTAACATCTGGAAGGGTGTAGTTTGTTTTGTTTAGTCAAGATAGCAGGGTTGGAATTTAGATACAAGTCTTGTGGATATGATGTCTGACTTTAAAATGTCCTTTAACCTTTCCCCCTCCTCAGAGACTCAAGTGCTATAATGGGGTTGCAATTCCCCATTATAGTCTGCATAGTGGATAATCAAAAGTGATGCAAGTTGTTCAATAACACATGGAGACCCAAAGGTAAAGGTAAAGGTTTTTCCTTGACATTAAGTCTAGTTGTGTCCAACTCTGGGGGGTGGTGCTCACCCCCCTTTCTATGCTGAACATGGTGCTTTTTATAGACACCTCCAAGATCATGCTGGCATGTGGCCAGCATGACTGCATGGAGCACTGTTACCTATTGATCTACACAGATTTGCATATTTTCAAACTGCTAGGTTGGCAGAAGCTAGGGCGCACAGCAGGAGC